GCTGGTCATGGAGCTTACTTTGCGAAGGCTCTCAAATTTATTCTTCTTCAAAATAAGAAATTTCAGATCCATGAGAGTGCCACAATTCTGGAACAACTCATCTGTCAGGGCATTGTGAGAAAAATTTATATACTGAAATGAGCTTTTTCTATTGGGGCAAAGCATGTGTGGCATATATGCATCAGCTATTGTCAAATTGGCAATATTCATCTCTGAAAACTGTCTGTATAGGATCTCCTGGTTGAAGTAATAAACCTTATGACGAACATGCTCCAAAGTTAATGCTTTCATGGAGCCATCCAAAGAGATTAATTGTTCCATGTTGCTTAATAAGGGTAGAAATGCATATTCAGTTGGCTCCTCCAGTGGTCCTCTAAAAGTCAAATTTCTCACAGTCAATTGTTCCACAGGTGCGTACCAAATAAGCACAAAAATTTGTAAGATGATAGCCCATTGTAAGTCCACAGCATCAAGAGTGAGAGCTGTTGTCTTGATTTTCTTCAGAAGCATTAAAGGTGGAGAGGGGAAATCTTTGTAACTCATGGTATATCTTAAGTTAACTATTTTTAAGTTTTCTGAAGTGCTCATTCCATCGTACAAGAGGGAAAAAATGAAGTTTTGGTTTGCTGCAAAAGCAATGTGGAGGTTCCTTGTAGACAAGACTGTCAGACTCTGAGGTTCATACAGTGAAAAGTTTCCCAAGTTCAGGAAGACTGTGTGCAGCTGCAAATGTTTGATATACCTGAAGTCTGACCTTCGTATCATCGTAGCACTTAATCCAAGGTACTTCAAATGAAACATGTTCCCAAATTCCTGACAGATGGGCAGGGCAGTAAACTTATTGAAAGAAAGATCTAAATGTCTAAGATATGCAAGAGTTAGACAGGAAACTTTTGAAATGTTATTATGAGATAAATCTAAGTATTCTAAGTTTTCATTAAAAATAAAGACACTAAAGTCAAGCATCGTAATTAGATTATGAGAAAGATTTAATACTTGAAGGTCAGAAAGATGAATAAATTCTGAGGTACTAAGTCCAGAGATCCTATTATGTGATAAATCTAATATTTGAGTATGAACTGGAGTGTTTTTTGGAACATAAGTTAGCAAACTGCTTGAATAATTTGCAATAAATTCATCTTCTACGGTTGGCTGGATATTATTCCACAGTGTGAATATAAAGGCATAAGTAAAGACATACATATTTGTGAGGGATCTCATTATGCTATCTAGCTTTATCTTGTAAAGACAAGAGACACAGAAACACAGAAGCGTATCTTTGTTTTCTGTTCAATATGTCTCACTGATGAGTCCAGTCCTATGAAAAAAAAAGATATGAAATTTAATGAATTTCTGTTGAATGGTTGAAGTTTCTTTTTTATTGTGAAAATAAAATTCAATATAAAATCTATGTAATAAAAAATTATTTTTATATACTCCTGTTTTCAGTTCTTACCAAATGTCCTCACTCCCATTCTTTAACTCTAATTATTGACTCAGTCAAATACAAATTAATTCTCTTATAATGGGCAGGATGCCACTGGCATGTTAGAAACACATAGATGTTAAGAAATACAAATTTCTCAACAATCATGAAAAAATACAAAACTGGTACAAACCAACATCAATGCATTTATGAATAAAGGAGAGCAAAAGAACCCATCCATCTGCTGTTTCTATACATCTATAGACAAATATATAGATGAATAGATGTATATACATCTATTTATGTACATATACATAAATTTGGGTGTTGGAATTCAATATGTCCCTCAGACATTTTTGGATGTTCCGGGCCCAGGCCAGAAGCATTTGAGACCCTGGCAGGCAGCTGGAAACAACTGTGATTTTGGATTTGAACCATGGAACAATTTACCAACCTTGCAGGAAGAACAAGAAGTAACAAAAGTTTAGATATTATAGTAGAAGTAGTCACAAAGTAGAGGGAAGAATTTTTGAGTGCTGTACAGGGGGGTTTTAGGTCTTGTACATGGGGGTCAGAAGTTTTAAGACGGAGGGATTTGGGCCTGCCCTGTCCTCCCTCTTTCTTCTTCCTTACCTCCATGTTCTTGGTGATGTTGGCACTCACAGATTGGTTTAGACTAGAAGGGCATCATTTAAAATAGGTAATAGGCATTGGGGAAAAACTATAAACATTTAACACGTAATGTACCATATAAAAGATAGCACCAGCCCTGGGCGGGGAGAGAGAAGAAGAAGACAGGAGTCAGAGAGGATGTCAGGGTGTGTGTGCGCCTCTGCCTGAGCAGCTGAGCAGACCGCAGCAGCTCAAGAAGAAAATCTTTTAGATAACATGCAATAAACTGCCTTGAGACCAGACAACAGAAGACTACCGAGTCTTTCTTTAAAAGCATGGGTTGGAGGAGAGACTTTTCCGCCACACGGAGCCACCCCTGACCTAGAGGTGAGCTCCAGCCTTTGGGAACAAAACTCCAGTAAAACCACCTTCACAGCAACTGGTGCAAAAACAACCTCTTCACTCAGAGGATATTCTTCTTTGCACCCCAAAGACCCTGGACATTGCCATGCACCGTCTCAGGGTCAGATTATCAGCTTTGTTCTTGCTATAGCACAAAGACATAAGAGTCCATTTTTTCCAATGGACCAAGAATTCTGAGGAATTATACTGTCCATTGTATTGGGTTTGTATGGTGAGGTTTTGGGAGCAGGGGAATTACAGGTCTGGTTTCTGTGAGAAGCTGCCAGAAGCTTCCTCTGTGTTCCACGGAGCCAGTGGCAGCCGGATCCAAGGCCATGCTCATCCACAGCATTAGCAGTGCCTCTGAGATACCATGGTGAAGAAGGGGGGAAAAGCGCTGGGAACAGCAACTGCAGCTGGGAGAGGGGAGTGAGAATATGGGGAAGAAACAGCTCTGCAGACACCAAGGTCAGTGCAGAAGTTGGGGGAGGAGGTGTTCCAGGTGCTGGAGCAGAGATTCCTCTGCAGCCCATGGTGAGGCAGCTGTGCCCTTGCAGCCCATGGAGGTCCATGGTGGAGCAGAGATCCACCTGCAGCCATGGAAGACCCCATGCTGGAGCATGTAGATGGCTGAAGGAGGAAGGAGGCTGTGACCTCATGGGAGGCCCATTTAGAACAAGCTCCTGGCAGGACCTGTGGTGCTGTGGAGAGAGGAGCCCACTCTGGAGCAGGATTGTTGATAGGACTGTCACCTCATGGAGGATCGATTCAGGAGCATCCCATGCCTGAAGGACTGTGCCCCATGGAAGGGATCCATCCTGAAGGGTTCTCGAACAACTGCAGCCAGTGGGAAGGACTCACACTGGAGAAGTTTATGCAGAACTATCTCCAGTGGAAGGGACCTCAGGATGGAGCAGGGGAATAGAGTGAGGAGGAAGAAGTAGGAAATAACAAGTGATGAACAGACCACAGCCCCCATTCTCTGACCCACTGTGCCATTGGGAGAGGAGGTTGAGCATTCAGAAGTGAAACTGAGCCCAAGGAACAAGGGAGGTCTGGGACTAAGGTGTTTTGGGATTTGATTTTATTTCTCATTATCCTACTCTGATTAAATTTTAATAAATTAAATTAATTTCTCAGGTTCAGTCTGTTTTGCCTGTGATAGTAATGGGTGAGTGATCTCTCTCTGCCTTTATCTGGCTCACAAACCTTTAATTTTATATTTTCTTCCCTGTCCAGTTGAGGAAGGGAGTGATGAAATGGCTTGGGTGGACAGCTGGCACCCAGCCAGGGTCAACCCTCCACACTCCACACAAATGAATATTGTAATACCAGTCTGACCAAAAGCATACTAATGGTAATACCACATCATGACTGCACTATGCACTATGCATGAAGCAGTGATACCCAAAATCTGAAAGAAAACACTAGACATTACCAAAGACTCCAGAATTTTCTAGGTGTACTATGAAATTTCCTACATTTTCCTATGATTGGAATTTGACAAAGAACCTATCTAAAAATAGTGAGGGATGATTAATCTAGTTCTAAGTATCAAAAACCCAAGTAGGAAAGGATTTTATAGATGTAGTCCAGCTGAATTAATACCTAGTCATGCCTATCAATATTCTCCATGGGCTTGGAGAGGCATCAGTCCTTTTTAGAAAAACCATGACCTGGGCATTACTCTCTTGTTGGCAAGCACTAAACAAAACACACAGACAATATGAAGCATAAACAACTAATAAACAGTTTCAGGAGACAAACATCCCCAGTTTTTTCTGTTCTGATTTTTTGTTAAAAATATCTAAAATCCCAAAGTTTTAAAATTCTATCCCTGTGTAATCTTTTGTTAAATAGAAACCAAAACTTTTTTTTTTTTTTTTTAATAGTTCTACGTAATAATGTGTGCTAGTCCCTAATAATTTGACCAACTGATATCAAAACTCAACCCTTCCCATCCAAGTTTCCTATCAGGCTTAATCAACTTTTTTCTTAATCAAGTAAAGCAAAAATACATGCAATTAACATCACCAAAAGCATTAAAATAATAAATCACTAAAGTATTTCTACCTCTACTGAATCCAATAGAGAGGCCAAATTACTCCTTCAAGATCTGCCCATCTGTCAGGAATTTGGGAAACTGTTTCATTTGGAGTACCTTGGATTAAGTGCTACAATGATACGAAAGTTGTGCTAGGGTATCTGAAGACACAAAAGAAATGAAGTTTCATTTCTGGGGATGGTTGGTCAAAGTACAGTACCAATTGAAGACAAAACAAGACAAGGAGATCTGGCTCAGCTCCTTCAAAGTGCAGTTGACTCTGTTCTTCAGAGTCTGGGCTGATAAACAATCTAACTCTTGAATCAAATAAACTTTGATCTAGAACTATCTGGAGGAACTTCCTCCTGGCCTAAAGGGATGTCAGTAATAAAGAAAGAAATGTTCTGAAGGGAGAAAAAAACAGAAATATATTCTCTGTACATGCTCTAGCACCAGATGAGTTTTAATTTACTGTACATGCTATGCCAGATACTGCAACAAGACACAAGCCACACTCTTATAGCCCTGCAGAGTACCATAGTCAAAGAGTAAA